GCCCTCATCATTCTTGGCTTGTTTCTTCCTGACTGCTTCCTCCATTCAGGGAGTGTGCTTGATAAACTGACTGACAAGGGCTCCTTCCAAGGTGAAAGCTTTACTAAAAATGGCTTAAACTGACTAATATTTCCTGCAAGTTTTCACTTTCTTATATCAGCTGTATTAAAGAAAGCTAGATCCAAATCACAAATTGTATCCATATGTAAAGCAGCAGAAAATTTAACTATCAATAGTTCTGCAAGTTATTTTGTATCAAAATTTAATACAGGTGTATTTGTGATTCTAATGTAGTGATGTACCAATGAGGTAACAAACCGTTTGGTCTTGATAATTTCTATTATGATAATAATCTTTGTGGATGTACGGCAATTCCCTCGTGAAACCTGAGGTCTTAGAGAAAAAACACCCCTTCCGACTCATTGAATAATCCCCAAACTTGACCTGGCTTTTCTCAACACCCACCCTCATCTCCTTGTCCATACCTGCAGGGAAACAAAGCAGTAGCATCATGATCTCTGAGTCGGACGATGACACGGACGAAGAGACGACACTCTTTGACTCTAAGAAACGACAGGGGAAGAATGGTAAAGCCAATGGTTCAGTGATGGCTGTACAACCGCGTAAGAAGAGACCATTCCCACTGATCAGCTCCCGATCAGAAAAACTCTAAAAGTGAAAAAAATAAGGAGAAGAATACATCTTGAAAAATCCAAGGATACTTCTTTTCAGCTGAATCTAAAAAGCAGTACTAGCATAGCTTCTGAAACTTTTCTGAGGACGGTTTTTGGCAGTTACTTGTAGCTGACAGTTGGTGATGCACGGTGAACAGATTGGCATTTGGATTTTATGTTTCCGTCGGTGAGGACTTCATTTACACGGCATTGTTTTGAGAGGAGAACTGTGGAATCACCAGCTGTGAAACCAACAGGTTGTAATGGGCTGTGTTGAGTGTTAGTGTAACTTGGTCGACAACAAGAAATTCTGTATTAATGACACGAAAACATGAACCACAACTAAGAAGGCCCCACAAGATTTGTTTTTTTTCAAGTGATGCACCGTAGTAATGAGGAGAGATGGTGGTTGGGTTGATATTCTCAGTAGCTAGGTATTCTCACCAAACAACTTAAATGTGGGGCTGCTGTTTGACCATATGTCTGAGCCAAGCGAGGGCGCCGCCTCAGTTCACTAAATATGTGTACGCATACGTCAGTGTCAAATCTTGTGCCTATTAAGATGGTGCATACACGTAGTTTGCACATTGCTGCAGCCCCTATATGTGTCACAGGAATGTGATGCAGGATATCACCAGTAGTTCCCTGTGGAAGTCAGCAGAGCTATCCATACATTCATGGCATCTATCAGATCACTTCTCCCACAGTGTCGTCCTACCAGATTATGTCCAGAAAGATTATCAGGCTTTATCAACGGTCCTGCTTAAGATCTGCTGACAAGTGTGCATTGGGAACTTGGCTAAACACCAGTGACATTGAAAAGGACCGACATTAGCAATTATGTTCCTTCTGTTAACTGAAATGTAGGAAAGCTTCATGTTACACATGCAGTGCTATACACAAACAGTGATCACTCAAGCACCGTAGAACTGTAAATTTACTTCACATCTGTATAAATGATACGGCGTATAATCTTCAAGATTACATTGTCTTTCAAGCAATGGTGTCTTGTATAATGAATAATGTCATTGTTCAACGTGATAGAAAAGTGTATTTATTATTTTCTAATTCTGACTCGCCGGGCCTGATGAAAAGGGAAACTTTTAGCAAAGTATTTCTGTTCAGCTAAAAACTTGACTGAAAGTTCTCCTTTTTCATTAGCTCTTTAAACCGTCATAAGTAACACAGCTTCCATTCAGAAATCAAGTGCTGTGAGTATTTTTTTTTAATTAGAAATTGTGTTTCATAAGGAATGGTAGGAGGCCTAAGTAAAAGGGAGGATATTGCAAATTGCAGTTTATGCATTATGGAAATTTGAGTCGAAAACAAGATTATTTACCTATACAATGACAGTTTTCTTTTTTATATGTAGGCATTTTTGTAAATAAAGGTTTTAACATGTGCATCAAAAATGTGAAAAAAATATCAAGATTTATGGACAGCACTTATTTATTTTTCATAGTGTGTTGCGAGGAGCGGAAAATATGTATATAATTAAAGTCCAAAGAAAAGATAAAGATTGTGTATACAGGTTGATGTTTGACAGAAAAGAGCAGCATAGTTGTATGCTTGCTTGAGTGTTTATATTTGAAACTTAATTAAAATTGAAACCTATGTGTTTGAATTCCACTCCGGGAGGCTATCTAGATGTAGGAATGTACATATAGTTGCCGGGTCATTCCATGAGGTTGGGGCACAATTTGTGACGGTGTCCTTGTTACATGGGTAGCTTTTACCACCTGTCATAACCTGTAGAGTAGGTCATTTACTCTGTAAAAATAACACACACCTCTGTATTCAGACTTGCAAGATGTATAACATTGTCAATTTGGAATCCATGTGCAGGGAAATAGCTGTTCATTTTTACAGAACCCATGTAACAATGGACACCATCACAAATTGTGCCCCAACCTCATGGAATGACCCTGGCATACAAAGCAGACGTCACAAAATTACTCATTTGCTGTTGGAATGGCTTAAACCTTGCATGTAACAGGAAATGCCTGCTGTTTGGTAAAACACTATTTGGGTTGGTAGAACAAGAGTTGTAAGACTGTGGTGCACTTGAATGTTGTGGACCGTGGGAAGCCAGTTTTGTAAGAGACCATCTCAAAAATGCTTGATCTCCTAAGCATACTAAATGTTTTCTCTTGTGAAATGCTTGCCTCTTGGTGTCTGTGCAGAAATTGGAAGTTTAGAACAGCCAACCCCAGGTGAAGAGAACCAGTTGAGAGTGCTCCCTGAAGACTAACATTCCATTTGATCAAGTGCAAAGAGTACACACGGGGCTTGCGCAACTCATGACATATTACAGGATCAATTCCATTTTCATTCAGGAGGCATAATTATGTTCATGACTTGTTCCAAATTTGTGAACCAAAACATTTGAAAAGCTTCCGTAATTTATTACCAGTGAACTGTGTAGTCATGAATTGTTAATACCGAAGAGGTATTCACCCCTCTCTAAAATGTAACCGTAACATTTGTATTGAAGTGGTAGGAATTTAATCTTGCTTGAATCAGATGGGTTCCTGTAAATGTTCCAGTCTTAGATGGGATCAGTTTTGTCTGTTTGTTGCACACAGTTGCCATACATTGTCATGGCAGCTTTGAAGTCCTCTGTCCAACTATAATCCTGAGTAAAAAATATCTCTGCTCAGATGATGATCAACCAGTACTGCATTTTTCCGCATGAATTGTATGCACTTCCACTGCGAGTACAATAAATACCGTTGAAATACCTGCCAAAATAGGACTTTAATAGTGTAAAAAGTGGTATTTGGTTAAATATTCTTGAAGAATTATGTATTTCGTTTCTTCCACATTGTAAAAAAATTATTTTTATGAGGAAAATTCCGCCACGAATTCCATCCAAGACTTCATGTGTTGTAGATGTGTATGCTTACAATTGTTTGACTGTGGGAATGGTTCAGCATGATTAACCTTTCATGTATTTGACAATTTTCAATTTTCCCTTTTTTTCGTCTTCACTGTTGACTCTTAAGATAACCTATGTGAATTTCTTCATACAGTTTTTATGATGTTACAGCTCGTTGCAGCAAACTGCAGTGACATATCTTTTCAGACCAAAATTTATTCTTTCAACAACTCTATACATCTTTGATGTGTTTGTAAAAAAAAGCTCCCAGCCTGTTGCATTTGTAGCGCATTGCAAAGCACTTTGAGTTGTACAGCCCTACTTTGGCATATGTTGGTTCAAAGAAAGTGTGTTAAAAGTCCAGCAGTACAAGCCTCAATGTAGTCTAATGTAGTTGTTAATTTACTACCCAATGTGGATTTGAACCCCGGCCGCTATGGCAAATGATTTAAGTGAACTACCACTTGGTATTGGTAATGTGCTATAAAATGCAACTGCAATATTACAGAGTATATATGAAATACACATTGACAAGGTGTTCATGCAGTGCTGAATATGCTGTTTTTTTAAATCAGCACTTTTAATAAGACAAGTTTATTTATCGTGGATATATTTAGGTTTTGGTCAAATTCCTTAGATAAACCTTTGCTGTTCTTGGGTGGATGTAGCTAGATTCATTATAGTGTACAGTTGTGATTTTTTGTAAAATATTTCACGATTCCTGTTTCAGGTACTTTTTTGTAACAAAAATTGGCTTGGGTGGAGGCTTCATAACAATGCAGAATTGAAACAAAAATTGAGCAAAAATAAAATTAGAACGCTGAAGAACAAGTTTTGCTTGTATATGGAGTTCCTCATTTAAAAAGAGGTTAAATGACATTAATTGAGAGTCAAATGCATTTTGGCCTCAACATCTAACCCTCTAGCTTTTGACCTTTAATCCTGACCCTTTACTCCTTAATAACTCTGAACCTTTATATTGGACCTGTAGCCTGCAAGTTCAATAGCTGAATAACAAAAAAGTAGCTGCTATCTGCAGTAAACAGACAAAATGAGGGTCTAAACGACACATTGCGGTTCATGCTTTTTATTTTGTATTTACAGAGAAAAAAAACAAACACATGAACACTATGGCAGTTGACAATGTACAGATTTTAAAAGATGATCAATGCGATTGATTAAAAGTTGATACCACCAGCACACGTTCATCTACCGGTGACATTTTTAAAATGGCACCCCAAATAATACCTTTTTTAACTCTACCAGTCCCAAATCCTCCGATTTCAATATGATTTTACATACACCCTAGGGGGTTAGGGATAAAGAAGATGTACATGTAAGTTAAAGTACACTTCCACATTAATCAGGTTGTCTTCTGTTTGTCATTGGAAACATACAGTACGTGAGAAACAGACACGTAAACAGTTTTGAATAGCACAACTGAGAGCATTCCTCAAAACTCCTGGAAATTTCCTAAATCAAACATAATGCAATACATTTTTTTTAAGTACGGGTACTGTACTGCCTGATACAAACACATCTGGAGCAGTTACTGGCTTGGAGAGGAATTTACATAGAACAGGTGCAAGATCAGACAGGAACATTGCATTTTCCCCCAAAAAAATCATGTCAAAATGTAAGACGATAATCTGCCTTCGTCAAATTTGTTAGACAGTGGAAAAACAATGAGAAAAAATGGAACATGCATGGCACAGAATCTAAGGTGCTCGCCAGCCTCTGCACAGTTTGACAGGTCATGCAAGACCAACTTCTAGAAAATCCCTATGTACCATTACATGTTGGCAGGCAATAGATAGGATCAATAAAAACCCAGCCCCTCAAAGCTCTTCACAATTTCAAGTTGCCCCCTTCTTGGTGAGTTCCTCCACATGACTTTCCAGTGTATACTCTTTGGGTTTCAGAAACTGACTGGCAATGAGATGCATCATACCAGGTCGTAAATTTCACTCAAGAATTTGTATGTACAGAATCCTACGCAGTGTATGAACAGATTTAGCAGCTTGAGATTTGGAATTTCTACAGCACGTTTCTAATTTTGGAATAAATAGCTAAGAGTTAAGACGTTAGTATCTTGGGTAGCCGTGTCCGTAATCACGTGTTTGGTGCCTCCATTCTTGTTCTCTTCCATTGTCGTAACTTCTTCCCTTGCTGTAGCCTCGTGAGTCTTGATTTTCATCTCGCTGACCCCAGCCATGACCTCGGCCCCTGTTGTGTGGGTTGTAATCCCGGCCGTAGGAATCATAGCCCTGTCGGTCGGCATAGGGTTCCTGCTGGCCGTGGCTGTGTGGTCTGTAGTCGATGTCCCCGCTGTATGGGTATGGGTCATAGTCCTGCCGGGAGTATGTCGTACCACTTGGACCAGGCTGTCCATGATCGTAGTCCCTGGTGCCCTGCCATTTCGGCTCTTCTATTGGCTGGTACTCCTCCACTGGTGAAGCTGGGTGAGATGGGTTGTACGACTGGTCTGGATTATACAGCTGCTCCCCAAAAGGTGCCCTCTGTTGTCCCTGGTCATAGCCGTAGGGGGAAGGGTTGTAGGTTGGTGCAGTAGGGGGTGGGGTAAACTTTGGCTCATAAGAGCCCTGGAATGGTGGCGAAGGTTCTTTGTCAGTAACGTTTATAATTGGAATCCTACCAATCGGGGGTGGAGTTGGGGTTGAAACTTTAGCCGTCACTGAGGGAATTGTTTTGGGCTCGAACAGTGTGGCTTGGATGAAATCTAATGCTGAGCGATCCTGGTTGGTTGATCCTGGCTCCGCTTTGGTTTCAGCATCTTTCGATTCTGGTTCATCTTTGGTTGGTGTGGCGCCACCCTGATCATCTGCTGCAGCTGTGCTGGAGTCTGCTGGTGCGCGGCGAATCTGTGGTGACCCTGTCTGGTCTTCTGCTGTGCCTTCAGGAACTTGGAGTTGGCTTGTGGAGCCGCCCACTACAGCAATGGGCTGTCTGGGCGTTGATACGGAGCTGTGCCCTGGGCTGAAGTCCGAATCGCTAGTGGCCTTCTCGATCTCTGACTGCAAGGATGCGATCTGCCTGTCCAGCAGAGCCTTCTTGGCATCTTCTACCTGCTGCGTCAGCTTGATCAGAAGCTGCTGCTGTTCAGTCAGGTTTGGCTTGGAGCTGAATGCTGTCAGTAAATTGGCTGTGACGTCTGATGCCGCATTTGCAATCTCGCTGGCGCTCATGCTTTGCCCACTCTCTTGTAGGAGGGAGGTGAGTTTGGTTGGGCTTTGCATGGACCCCTCCTTGCTGGATTCTTCTCCTGATGTTTGACCTTTCGCCTTTGGCACTTCACCTATGACATCCAGGACATCTGCTGGGTCATAGGGGGCCTCAATCTCCTCTTGAGTCGGTGAGTAGGGCTCAGCAGTGAGCTCGGTCGGGTCTGCATTGGCGTACTGGGCCACGATGGGATCCATGAGTTGCTTCTTGGGGATGAGTAATGGTTCTTGGGAGGGGCGGAACCGCTTTGGTCCAAAGCCGTGCTCCTCAGGGTTGTTGAGAAACTCCTCGGGGTCGGTGGGTGAGCGCGAAGCTGTGCTCAGTGTGTGTGTGTCCGACAGCCGTCGTTTCTGCTGTTGTGGTGGTGGTTGTGGCTTGGGATGAAGCTGTGAGTCATGGTGGGAGATGCTGGAGCGAGGGGTGTGACCTAGGCTTGCTGAGCGCGCTCGCTCACGGTGTCGCACAAGCAGGCCAAGTAGCATGTGAGGGCGGGGCTCTGCCAAACCTGTAGGTAAATCAACAAGGGAAAAAATTCCACAGTCGTTTTCAAATTTTTGTTTGAAAGACTGTGATGGGTTATAGATACTTGGGATCTCGTAAATAGGAGATAATTCAGGCAAGTTCAAGTGATGGCCATTTGCAAACCACTGGTCACTTCTGCCTGGTACCCAAATATTCTGTTACCGCTTACCAGGGAAAATTAAGAAACATTTTGATGGCATTTTTAGGACAAAGATATGCTCAACATGTAAAATATCTACTTAGCAAAGACAAGACAACAACCAAGATGTAATGCGGTGCATACTCCTTTGAATGGTTCCTTGCTGGTGCATAGATTTGCTAGTTACTTTCTATTAGGTAGGGTCTACACAATTGGGCCATGACCCAAAGATGATCACTCACCAGGCCCTTTGAAGGGCATAATCTCCTGGGGCACTGGCTCGTGGGCAGACAGCGGGAGGATGTACATGTCCTTGATGTGGGTGCGATTATTCCCAACCACACCGATCCGCTGCCGGCTGTGGAAATACTGGAACAGGGTGATGTAGGCCGATTTGTCCTCTTCCTGGACAACGTGGAAGCGAAGCACGATCAGGTCAGTGGTGTTAGCCTTGCGCAGCTGCTTAAAGTAGTCCCAGACCACAGGGTACGGGATACGACCACAAATGACAATGTTCTCTGGCATGTCCTGTTGAGATTGGGGAGATAACGAGATGTTGACAAAATTGAAGGGCTTTGGAGTAAGACCCATGGATTGAGACTTAACCTCTGACCTTTGGTACTAGGATTCTTACTCAATTGCCACTATGTGGCGAATTGATTTCTTCACACTCTCCAGCTGATTCCTTCACATTTGTTTTACAAATTGTTGTAACAATATGTAAATAAGATCTCTCTCGACTGTTTGTGGGAAAAATG